CACAAGCTCTGGTTATATGGCCAGCACTGTAACCACTGTGCTATGAGAGCTGAGCCACCAAAGGCATTCTTAATAAAGCCACACTCTTCAGCCTATGGACTAAGTTTTTGTAAACTTTAGAAATACATTAAGGCTGAATTATTAAGCTCTTCAATTCTACAAACATTAATTGAACATCTTATATGTGTCAGAGACTCAAGAGTCTGTGCCAAGTGCTACAGATAAAGAATGAACAGTATCTAAAATAATGGTTCTCAAACCTGACTACCTCTAAACACTGACCTCTTAAGAGCTATAAACAACTTCAATATCCCACCCTCCAGAAATTCTTATTCAATGTGTCTTGGGTAGAACTAGACAGCTATAGTTTTTAAAGCTCCTCAGCTGATTTTCAGCCCAAGCTGAGGCTCATAGGAGGCCCTGGATGACACATGCCTTGGAGAAAACACAGCACACAATAGCTGCACCATAACAGGTCACAGAAAGGCTGTGGAGTCCCATGTGCTCCTAACTCTGCCTGTGGACACATCACACAGACAGGAAAAGAGACAAAGAAATCCTTCCCAACAAGTTGTGAATAAGTATTATATGTCAGATGCTCTTGATGCACCACAAGTTGTCCCCAGAAGCAGGTGTTATTTTAGGCACATAGCCAATGAGGAAACTAAGACATAGGAAGGAGCAGGGTACTTGCTGGAAAGTCACAAATTTTGTAAGTGGCAGGGTTAGGATTTGAATCTAGACCTCCTGCCTCCAACTGAACATAATTTCTAAGAAAAAAAAAAGTAAGATGATTTAAAAAATGTAATATTTCCAGAAAAGAGGTACCTAAGAATTGCTGTGATGGGCAAATTTTATTGTTTATTTGTCAAATACCATTTTTAATATTTCTTCTGGATTTTCTGGAACATGTGACTATTTTACTTTCTTTCAAGTTGACCTAGTAGAGATCTGAACACAGAAATGCGTTACAGAGAAGCAATTTCTTCTTTGAATTGAATCCAATCTGAGTCCTCACGAAATTCAGTTTGAGAGTTTTAGGATGTCTCACTACAGGAGTTCATGGCATTATCTCCATAACATCAGAGCCACCGGTGACTCTCTTGTGTCCCTCTTAGCTGTGCACTTCAAGTATATAAGATTTATGAGCTAAGCCATAAGCAGAGGCCCAGGCAGGAGTGAACTAAGTAGTCGTTAAGCTAAAGCAATCTGGTATTCAAAAGCACCCTTAACATTACAAAGTATAGGGAATAAGCTGTATTTCAGCTAAATAATTGTATAGATATGATGCACACTGACTTTATAAGACTTTTCCTGGAAAGTTTTAATGATAAAAAAAAATCTTATAAAATAAAGCAAGGACACAGATTAGAAACGATAATTTTATTCAATAAGAGGTAATTACACTTCATCTCTCTAATAATTTGCGCTATATATTCCCCAAACCATTCTTATTCTAAGATCATACCACGCAGATGTATGAGGTCAGACAACTAAGTTCATGAACTCATCCTGGGAAAAGGGTGAAACCCCCCATTGCCAGACATCACCATGGTCATCTTTGCAGTGCTGCCCTTGGCCATCTGGGGAACCACAGGGAGGCCTGTAGCACTTTCTCTAGGATGAGTTTACAGACTTCATTGTCTGACTGTGTATGACTAAGGTGTTTATTTTTTAAGAGTTTAAGTATTATTTTAACTCATGATGATCCCTCTGCCTGAACGAACTCACTTCTCCCCTCACATACTCCCCTGAGATTTCCCGTTGAACACATGCTCGCACAGACCTCCAGACTATCCCAGACCTTCTTTTCTTCTCCCTTGGGACATTATACCTCAAACACTTGAAGCATCCAGGCACCAAGTACACAGTAGATACTGATTTAAAAAAACGTAGACTAGACATCAAATGGGTAGAGGTGAAATCTTCGAGCAGAGTTGTGGCCATTGCTTTAACAGCAGCCTTTGCTGCCACCACCAACAGGGCTGGACGCAGCCAACCCTCATATTGATCACAGAGGTGCAGCAAACATCATCACAGGCAGGCAGGGGACCAGGATCCTCACGCGTTCCTGGCAAGTAATTCCCCTCCCTCACCTGGCTGTCTCCACTGTGGAGTGGGGGCTGATAACATCTTATTTGCTAAGGAGTCAGGTTCTGATCCTGGTGATTGATAAGTCTCTGCTAGCTCCAAAGTAGGACAGATCTTTGACTGGATGAAATTTTTCTTAGTTCTAAAGAAACAATACAGTTTGTGCAAAGTACTCATCTTCATCTAAAGTGCTGTGAAACAAGAGAAGGCACGACTAATCTTTACTTATTATCACAGGTTACGTATCCTTAATCAGAAACAATGCTCTAAAATCAGAAACACTCTGAGTACCAACATGATGCTCAAAGGAAAACTTTTTAGAGTATATTGGATTTCACATTTGGGGATTAGAAATGCTGAACCAGTATGTAGAAATGTAAATATTACAAAATCCAAAAGAATTCAAGATTTGAAACACTTCCTCATCCCAAACATTCGAATAAAGAACACTTAATCTGTACTGTTAACGCTCCTACCTGCATAAAAAGCCTCTGTCTCTTACCTTTTGACTTCTGGTCATGGTACGACCTGCCTCGATAACGAGGAGTGTCCAAATACAAATTCTCAAGATCTTCTTGCCATGACTCTGGATTGAAGTGCTTGAGCAGATCTTCCACAGTATCAAATTCTGCAATCGTTTTGTCCAGAGCATCCGCAGTGAGAGTGGGATCCGTTACTGATGGAGAGTGATAGGATACCCCCTAAGAATGACATACAGCTCAGTGTACTCAGAAAAATTTCATTGCTATGAAATACAACTTCAGCTATATGGAAGGAATTAAAACAACATGCAGAAGCAACCTAGCATTGTCTTGCCATATTCTTAAATAAAAGCAATTGACCTAAGATAATCATTCAGTTTGCAAATCAAAGCCAGGTCATAAAACTTCCAGTTCATCTGAACTGTAATGATTTAAAAATATAAGTTAAATGGAAATATCAAAATTAAGTTATCTGATTTCTTGGTTCAAGGTCCCATATCATTCATATATCAACAAATTATGGTTTTGACACATCCTAATTTATTTCACTCTCCCACATTTACCCTCCATGTTTCCCCTTTCCAGGTCACCTGGTAATGCACATGATGTGTGAGCAGTGTTTGAATCGACTCTGAGACATTTTGATAAAGATCTGGCACTTTAACCAATGTATTTAATGTCAACAAGGATAATTAACCATGAAACTGCCTCTCTTGACTTAAGAGTGGAGGATACAAGCATATTGTTTTTAAGTGCTGTAGTTTTGCTAGTGACCCTAGTTGCCATTAAAACATCCTTAGAAATACTCTTTAAAGGGGGAATGTAACATCATTGAAGGTCTGGAAAGGATTATGTATTTTGTAATGGAATACATCTCCACATAAGATTTCCAAGCACTTACTTCACTAGCCTTTGTACAATCTAGAGGTAAATGAGGCATGATCAAACATCTCTGTAAAAATTCATGACCCATTAACGAGGAAATAAGAGAGCACAGGCCTCAGATGGTTTTTAGATGTCTTTACAGAAACTGCCAAACAAATAAGATCCCCCCAGGGGCAGGTATCTCTTATCACCAAGGAAAAATGGAAACTAATGAAAACTTGTTTTCCTGAAATTTAACTATAGGATCCTATCAAGAAATAATAAGTGCTATACAGTCTCATACAGCAAAGCTTGCAGTTGACATTCTCATTCTCAGGCACATTGTGGCTCTCTTTTTAGCCAATCAAGGACCAAAGGTCATAAGTGGCTTGATGTTCATGTTTTCAGAGGAACAGTGTTTAGCAAAATGGAGAGGTGTAAAAGCATTAATCTACCATTAGTGTGACTCATGAGCAGGTTTTAAATATGCCCAGAAGGGGAAAGGGAGTGAAGAGAGTAGGGTGGGAGAATGAGGAAGATGGGTCAATGTGTCAGGCCAGCTCTATTGTTTTATTTTTTCGTTTAGAGAAAACATTCAACTAATTTTCAGTCATCCCTCTAGTGACCAAGCCTTTCCTTGGTGGAGGTGATGACCTCCTCATGAGTCTGTTCTACACTCTGCACAGGTGTGACCAGGCAATAACAGTCATTCATCTGGTGGTGTGGTCTTTGCCAGAAATTATTAAAGAGTCCAGAGACTTGTTAATAGTCCAAGCCATGCTGAGGACACCACTACAGGCACCTGTTGATATGACATAGATATCATCTAAATGTAGCTGTATTTGTTCCTCTGTTTCTGATAAGCCAAGTCTTTCATCTAGGGCAGCAGTTCTTAACCTGTGGGTCACAACCTTTTTGGAACAATGAAAATATATCGTGGCACTAGGAAGGTTGAGAACCACTGGTCTAGGGGATGTGTGTGTGTTTCTGGCTGACTCGAGCTGGACCTGACTTAAGCACAACATTTCTGTCTTTTGCTCTTCTTCTAGGATCCCATGGCCAGGGTGGATGATACTTATAATTCAGCACTGTAATTCTAAATCCCTATTCAACTTACATTCACCAAATGTTTACAATAGTATGGGTCTGAGAACTAGAAAGTCAAAAAGAGCTGACCAAAGTTAGAAGCATGGAAGTATATAAAAGCTTTGAGATTAAAAAATACTTCCCTCTCTTTTGAAATAAAAGCAGGGATGTCAATCAAGCAAGCCAAGTGACAGCTTCTGCAGACAGCTCTTGGGAAATGGCTGCAGGAGTTTTGTGGGGTGGGTTCTCAGGGAACCACATTGTGTCCCCAGGTTCTCTCCAAGAGGAAGTTGCAGGGGCTCTCAGTTCCTAAACAGGAGGGGAATCTAATCTCTTCAGACATTAGGTCGAACAGCCATGTGAACCACAGGTAAAATATAAACTTAGCTTTACATCTATTTTCAAGTTTTCCCTCAAGGCAGTTAACAGAAACAAAGATAATAGCTAAGAAAATATCAGGTGACCTAATATACTCATGAAAACATCATTTTTCCCCCTAAGGTAAATATTTTAAAACTAATTTTGAGAATAATAACGAATTGGGTATGGTTTCTTCAGTTGCCCAGTAAATATGATCTTATTCAGCTTTTGTTACATAGTTATAAAAATCAATTCTCAAGTTGACTAATTTAGTCAACTTCAAAATGATAACAATTTGTGAAAAAAAAAACACTTTGGAAACTGTAAATCACTTTTTTTTTTTTGAGACAGAGTCTCAAGCTGTCACCCTTGGTCGAGTGCCATAGTGTCACTGCTCACATCAACCTCAAACTCTTGGGGCTAAGTCATCCTCTTGCCTCAGCCTCCCGAGTAGCCAGGACTACAGGTGCCCGCCACAACACCCGGCTATTATTTGGTTATAGTTATAGTTGTCATTGTCATCTGGTGGGCCTGGGCTGGATTTGAACTGTCAGCCTCAGTGTATGTGGCTGGTGCCTTAGCCACTTGAACTACAGGCGCCAAGCCTGTAAATCACTTTCAACAGAAACATAGTATGGTTTAAACTGAAGTTAATGGTAAGTCTAATGTCCCCTGCTCCTCTGCTCTACTCTACAAGGGTCTTCAAGAATGAAATGCTAGTTTGCCCTGATCTTCCAAGAAAGCAGAGCAGCACCTTGACTTGGAACTCAAACCAGAAGAATTTCCGGTAGATATGACCCAAGGCTGAACCTCCCCAGATGATCTGAAGGAAGGGGATGATACCTCTCCTTTTAAAGGACATGGATTATCCTTAATGAGCTAAGAGTCCTTTAAGGTTTGTGATTCTGTCCTTCAGGCAGAAAGTTTTGGACCACTCTGAGTTATCATTTGTAACAGACTTAACAAGCTGGAGGACCCCTGGATGCTCAGTCTAGGACACAGACGCTGCCACTGGTGTCTACTTGGAGTCACCAGCCTCAGGCTGCAGAGGCTCCCCCCTCCTGCTCTGCCTCAGCTGCTCCTCAGCCCCAGCTTCCTTGTTTTGATTTTCACACAACTGACAATGTTGTCTACACTGAAATAGGTTCAGAGGAGACATTCCAGACTGTTGAAAACACACCGATAAAATACCCTGAGTATCACTGTCAGAGACACTTTTCATCTCTGCATCAGAAGCCAAAGTAGGTGAATTAAATAGTCACAGAATCCATAACTGAGGAAATCCTCCCACATGAGGGGATTTTAAAAAATCCCTCAAACAGCACAAGATAACTATCACTTGTCACTTTAGGGAAAAAAAATCAGCTCTGACTCAGCCACTTGGACCCTTTTTAGAGCTGTAGATGAGCTTTCTCCATGCTCTTGACCTTTTTATGGACAACCTCATTCATTATCTTGTATTTTATTGCTACATAAGTGCTACACATAGGATTGGTAAAAACATGGTCTGGTCTTTCTGTACAAAGTAGATAAGAAGACAGAATACTGAGAAATGACTAAATTTAGAGAAAAAAATGGGGCATGAACCACTTTAAAGCTTCAGGGTGAGTTATGTTTTATATCCAAGTCAAATAGAAGGCATGCCTGATTTGCACTTAAGTTATCTTACTGTAAATACTGGGATTTTGCAAGGCTGACCAAACCCTTGAAAATGCAAAGGTTAACAGTTTCCTTTGGAATATTCAAAATGTTATTTCGAAATTCCTCACTTGAGTTTGGGCCATGAACCAGTTTGATGTGTTTGATGTTTGCACAGACCTTTTTTGGAATGATCTGCTTTGAAACTGATAACGATTTAAGTCATTGTCTAGCCTGAGTTCCCACCATGGTAAACCGGCAATTCCTGGAAACCTTTCTGAAACACAGGGAAAGGGGGTCTGACGTGACCAGCTGTAACCTGAATCCAGCGGAGGAGCACGGCCTTCTTGAGTCTGGGTTTTGGTCAAGCCCCGGGTTCTTAATGCAGGTGAAGTCATTTGGGGGTTGATTTTAGCTATTTCATCAGTTTCTTTTGCTGGCAATGGAGTAATAAATTACTTACTGAAATAGAGCTTGTGACTGATTCCCAGTTGGTCTCTGAGGCTGCTGCAGGCTGGAAATCTTCCTAGAAGGCAAAGTAACACTTATGTGAGTCAGTAAAATGCTGTTCAATTCATTCTGTGCAAAGTCTCAACCTTCCACATCTCCTTCCAACTAAGTGACAGCAGAAACAGGGCTACATTTCTGCTGAACATTTGTCTTAAGCACCTCTCCTCTTCTTAGCCATGACATTTTCTTATAAGTACTGGTGAAATGGAAACTGTGCAGACAGGAGTTCAAATTTTAAGTTGGCCACCTGCTGGCTGTGTGACCTCAGGCACCCTACTTAACTTCTCCAGTCCTTTTCTTCCTGGAGTTGGTATGGAAAGCTCGCATTATAGGTTTTGAGAATTGAGTACATTCATTATGTAATTATAACTGACATGCATGATAAAATGCTTTTTAAAGAATAATTGATAATAATAATAGTGATAACTGCTTTCCTTATTGATGTCTTAAACAAGGTTCTGCATCATGTTCAATTTTGTCTGCTGAGCCAGTCCATAACACTGGCAATATTTTCAAAGATACACTAAAGTTCAAAGGACTGTTTCTGATTCTATCAACAAATGTTAGGAAGGATGACAGGGAAGAAAATGCCTAGGAGTGTCAAAGTACTACTCCCTCAGAGAGAGAAAGCCAGGGCAGACCTGAGAACCTGAGTTAACTCAGATAAGCCTGGAAGGAGCTCACAGAAAGAAGCTTCTCTTAAAGGCAAACCTATCTCATTTTTGTACAACTTTCAAGTTAATTACTCTGGCAGGAAGTTAAAAAAACAGAAAGAGAAGGAAAGCTGATTCTACCATATTTGTATATCACAGGTGGCCTCTTGACTCTGCAAAAACAAACCACCTTCGTCGAATCCTTCTAGCCTGACCAGGAAGTAGAGATGTTTTGAGCCAATGCTGAGAAGCATTAGGCCACTCAAGTGTGACAGCTTACTTACCCAAGTGGACTTACTGAATGAAAGTTAAGTATCAGGTCTAAATTTCATTAACATTTTGAGAAGCCAGAAATGCATTTGTTTACTGCTCATGATGAGACACGATTATATAAAAATGTCCATTATTGTAGAAAATTTCAGCTGTTTGCTGAGAAAGACTGAGTCTAATGTGGGATCCAAAGAAGGAACAGATTATTAAAAACTGATGAGTGAAGTATTTTAGGAAATTCTGCCCCCAAATATGACTCCTTGGTATAAAGAGGATTTTGAAGTACAGGCCCTTTGAGATAAAAAGCATTGAAGGGGCTTCCCTTCACCTACATAAACCAAACTGACAGATCACAAGAACAGTCCACTTTCCTTCCTCTCCCTGTTATCTCAACATATTGCAGGCAAATTGATCAAGAATGCAACCAGACCTGGCCCAAATCGTTAAAAATATAATACCTGTCAGGTTGATTTACTTTGGTAAGAGAATCATTTACAAGTCAATCTGTTTCCCCCATGCATTTATCCTCCCTAGCAACCATTTATGACCCCTGAATAGAATGACTTATACTGCTCATCTCCCCCACCCCTCTGAAAAGCAGGTGTAAACATATCTGAACTTCATAGGGATACTGAGTAATCACTCTGTGATTCTCCCCATGCACATGGTGAATGAATCTTTCTCTAACTATCCTTAGCCTTAAGGAGATTGAAATGCAAACACATAAATAAACAGGTGCAGTAAACTCATGTGGGTGCTCTGATACCAGGCTAATCAGCATATCATAAAAAGTAGCAGATAATTATATTCAGAGAGGAAGTGGGCATGGAAAAGTTTCATATAAGAAGGTGATTGTTGAATGGAATTTGGAAGGATAAGTAGATAGTTATCTGCAAGAAAGGTGGGGTACAAGATGGAAAGAGAGAGACATGCTTAGACAGCTAAGGAAAGTCTGGAGAAGGAGCAGCAGCTTGCTGGGGAAATACAGTGAGTGTGCCTGCAATATACAGGCAGCACTGTCAGGATGAACTGTGCTACATGAGTATGCACTTGAACCTAAGATGTAAATTTGGACATTATCAAACAAAAATGTCATTAAAACCAGTAATACATTATGTTGATCATGTGTGCAAGTCAGAAAAGGTACACTTTTAAATCTTGAAACTAAAAATGGTTTTAAGATTATCTAGTTTGATCTTCTTAAGTGAACAATAAGTAAACCAGTTCTTAGATAAAAGATGTGTCATACATGTAGCCATCTGATGGCAAGGGTGGGACCATCAAAGCTCATTCTTAAGTAGAAACTGTGTGGTTGCTGAGCTTTCATATCTTAGACAGTTTATGTCTGGGGGAAAAAAGTGGAACAGCGCCCAAAGGGGGGTCAGTACAACAGCAGGAGAAACATGAAGCTGAGTATTGGTTGGAGGCTCCACGTCATCATCATAGTCTTAGTTATTGAGATTTGACATCTATACTCACTGAATTCTGTGACTTCAGTTCATTTGTTTGCATAGAGACATGTTAAAAGTATTTTGTTAAAGTTTTTTTCTTTTTTTAATAGTAAACAAGCTTCCAGGAACAAGCACCCAGATGAATTTTCCACCAAGAACTTTTAGTTTGTTCACTGTCTAGGCTACAGATTCCAGTCAGAAACTTTAATAGGAAAAAATGATAAAAGATTTCATTTAGTCCTAGATAAAATGTAACTTAATCTTCACTTGGCAACATAAATATTAGACATTTAAAAGACACTAACTTTCTTTTATGTTACTTCAAAAGTTTACTGTTATTCATAGATGACATATTTAAAATGAGCTTATAAAAGGGAAGGATAACTTTTATAAAAATAAAACACTGAGCCTCCAAGGTTTTAGCCCTGAAAGAGGAATCTCAGCACAGAGAGCACCAGAGGTTCTACCTTCTAAATATCTCCTCACTACAATCATTTCTCATCTTTGCCACCAAAACCTCCCGAGTCTAAGACACCAGCAAGTCTCCCAACTACCTCTTTAGCTTTGTCCCACACACAAGCTAGAATTATCTTTTTTAACAGTAAATAAAATCACTTTGTACAGAGGCCAAGGCCTGAAGAAGAGAAAAAAA